TGTTTGTTTGTTTGTTTTTACTGAAAGTCGTTACTGCCAATAGATTTTCGGGCCTACCTTGTATATTCGGAATGGTTAAACTGTCAGTCTCAAGCAGACCAGCGCCACGGATCGAGCACTGCAGGACCGATCCAGAATCATGTCTCGTCAGTGTTAGATCCGCGGCGCCCAGAGTCTCGTTTCGGCCCGTACAGTCAACGTTTCCCTCGGTGCGCCTGATCAGGGCAGTCTCGGTCCCGTTCTGGAGCCTTGTCCCGTTCAGAGACCACGTTGTCTGCACTTGGCTGTCACCGTAGCCGGCACTGCACGTGAATGTTGCGGGAATCCCTTCCAGAATTACTGAGTTTGTTTGCCTTAATGACACAGTCCTCACAGGGTCTGTCAAAAAAAATCAACAAATGTCACAAAATTATACTATAACCATATGTTCATACGGGATTTTCTGAGGGAAATTCTGTGGATTTCGCATTGTTTGGACTTTTCCAATTTCCTACAACGAAATTTAGCCAAAACACTCCACTACTATTTTCCACAATGCTCAGATTGATCCCGCTTTTTGAAAGATACTGCCGAGGTTTTATAAACGATCTAAACGTCAAGTCCCCCAAGGTTTGTTTTCAAACATTTACAGCCCCCAAATAGTCAGTCCAGATCCTCGCTTAAGAGGGGCCTATATCGACAGAAGAAACTTTTGCCAGACCGACAAACACAATCAACGTAAAGATCATTCTGTGTAAATGCCACCTCATTTTTGTGTTTCAAACTACACACAGTATAACCATCTCTTTCAATGTTGATGCCGAATCTGCTGTATTAACAGGCTGGAGATTTTCTGTTGGATATCTGATTTTTGCGGAAAAGTATAAATGATGATGAAACATTATACATGACATACACTGTTTACAATGGCATTGGTTTACAATGGTCTGGTTATTTTGGTGTTATTTTCACTATTTTGGTCTCAGAGCGGGGGGGGGGTTCGAAGCCCCCGGATCCTCGCTTGTTACGTTATTCTCTCACTCTTGTTCCCTGTTTGGTTTTGTTTGAATTTGGGGCAGCTATTAGTAATTGTTAGCATAAATTAATATTGCCGGTATTATCTCTTGGACTGTTTGGCCCACCAGTCCTTGCCTTAATTTGCCTATCATCAGAGTTCCTCAACTGTGAAAGGAACTGTGAACGTACCGCTCACGTCGAGCGCGACACAGCTGGACACTGCTCCACTCGGCCCCCACGAATCGCACTGGTAGCATCCGGCATCAGACTGGCGCACCGCCTTGATGGTCAGGTTACAGCTCGTGTTATCCTTGGCCACTGAATAGTTGAACTTTTCCGGCTGTAGAAGATCACCCGCCTCGTCGAAGTGACAGTCATTGATGCTAACGGTCCTTGTGCCGCTGCAGCCTGCGCCGGTGTGCTTGGACCAGGAGAACCGGCGACGGAGAGCGAGGTTCTGGCCCGATCCTCTCAGCTGGCACGTCAAGACGACATCGTGGCATTCCTCGCCCACTACATTGTCTTGTGTGACCAAACTGCTCCCCTCAAGCTCTGAAAAAGAGATACAAACTGTTTTATAATGACAACAGTACATTTTCGAAAAAGTGTTGCAATCATGAAAACCTCATTAACAAATTTGTTGAAACAAAACCAAAAATAGACGACCCCTCCCCCCTCCAAAAAAACTCATTTTTTTGGTGCGGGTCTCGTCATGCAATGTGACTTTTAAGGGTTTCAAATTTAAGAAAGTTTCCTTGCATAGGTTGATCCCCTCTCATTCTGTGTCTGGTGTAATTTTCAAAGAAGGGACCACTGAAGGTCAGTCACTGGCTTATATCGAAATTTTCTCTAACTAGAAATTTCAATTCTGAGCTTCGTCTTCCAACCAAGGCCCAAAACCTTGCGTCACTCTAAATTTCAGTTATTTTCAACTCTCTTTAATCAGTCGACCATGAACCAAATTGCACTCTGCACCGCTTAGTAAAGAGCAAAATGGTAAGTAGAAAAACACAGAAACCGACACCTGTAAAAATCAAACATTGAACGTTCACACCGGAATTAAAACCACAAACATGTACGAATACGGCAAAACACATGATTAGGATAAAAAAAACCACACAAAACAAGCCAAAAAAAGCGACGCATCGCTTAAAAGAATTAAAGGCACATATGGTCAATGTATGTATAAAAATGGGTTTTATTTACTTTATTCAACCAGGTCAACGGCGAATCTAGACGGCAAACGGCAAAAAAAGTCAACATTTGGGGAAGGATTTCATTCCCTCTCCTAAAAAGCCTGCAAAAAGCCCAAATATTTAGCCTCACGCCTGAAAAGACAATAAGAGGTCATGCCAAACAAAATCTCAAATTCGTGGCCCCTGTCCCCGAAATTAAAAACAAGTTGGCCCCCAGAAAATTTGGTCCATGGATCAGTACCGGTATAAATCCGAAAATTTGTTGCAAGGCCGTACATATCTGTATGCCGCCAAGGAGGAGCAAGAGAACTTGGGCGGGCATTAAGTTTTTAGCCTTTTGGGAAATTGACATAAATGTTGCAACCTTAAGTTTTCCAGCATCGTCGCTGAGACCTTTTTCGAACCAAGCCTTCATGAGTTTGTGTAGAGCAACATTCCACAAACATCTCCAAGCCAATGTCGTGAAATTTGGGCGAGTACCATCTACACAGAAAGTCACATTTCGGACACTTGGTTCTGATGAAAACGTCAGTTATTTCATTTACCGCAAATCGGTGAGCAAGGTGAAAAAAATGATTCGAGAGGGACGTTCCCATTTCATGAAGAGGATGGAAGAGTCTAAGAAACATGTTTTCCTGTAAGTTCCTTCCAAGTTGGCAACAGGTAGAAATAGACCGAACTCATAATTATGCTATGCTCTTTATGTTGCCAAGTAGCAACAAAAACGAGGTTGCACTTGCAAAGCCATCATTATTATTAATAAATGAACTTTTGGGGAAATCTCTTTTTTCAACCAAACCCTCAGATCTGAGAGCCCTTCACATTGGAAAGTTCAAAGACAAAGTTTAGATTGTAGGGAGTTTAGAAACAATCCCAAGCAGGATTAATGAGGTGCGGTGACCATTTAAGAATTTCACTTAAAAGGCAGAGAGGCCATCATGGTGTCTTTAAAGTGAGCATTTAGAAAATAAAAGAGTAAAGAATAATAAAAAGAATATAAAATAATATATAAATATATAAGAATATATAAATAATAAAAGAATAATAAAAATGGCTGGCGCACTTGTTAGAAACAGTTTTCAGTATTGCGTTTCAAAACAACCCGAATTACCAACTAAATGTGTAGGAAACATTTGTAAATAAGCAAAGTGACGATTGCAGAAAACGTTACTTTTATTGACAGGTTTTTGTTTTGCTTTTAAATTTAGTTTTACTGTCTCAACTCTTGTAAAACAACGATCCAAAATGTACCCACAAAACCCAGTTAAGACACATACATTTCAATAGTAGTTTTTAGTCAAAATGAAGTCATTGACTGGTGCAGAATCCAGTACTCTTATTTATAAACTTTGCGCTTGACGTAACTCTAAACAGTGGCGTATCCATGGAGGTGGGCAGGGGGCAAGTTGCCCTCTGGGAAGAATTTTATTCAATTTTTAAACGAATGGAAAGCATTACCACTTTAAAAACAAAACTACCACCTAGAAATAGTCTTAGTTAATTCAGGTCTAGCAATGACCTTATCAATGATTTTTTTTTCACATAAGCCACCTAACCTTTTCAAATTTTCGTAACAGCTGTGCTCATTTGAACATGCCACTGGGATGCATAGATTATAAAGAAACAGGACATTTCGTGTAACTGTGTAAATCTGCAGTTAACATTCATGTACTGCTGTGGGCCTACTCACCTTGAGCCATGCCGGATAGCAAACCCCATAGCAACACACGCAGAATGGTCAGCATGACACTCGAATGACCCATTGCCGCTTCAATTCTTGCTCCACTGATGGAAAGCAAAGTTTCGCCGAATGGTGTAGGACTTCCTCTGTGGCTACAATCTGGGGAAATAAAGAGTCGGTTCATCGGACGTGCTATTTACACACGGTTTAGAATGGGATTTACCGACTTCCTATTCTGTTGCACAATAAACTTCTTCGTTTCCTCAAATTCACAAACACAGAGATTTTACGCTGAACATATATAGTTACACTGCAGGAATTAAAAATTTACCGCTGAGTGGATCATAAGTTTTCCCCATACGAAAGGCATTAATTTGACCCAATTTACCAAGGATGTTAATTTGAGAAAATGATTGTTTGTAAGTAGTCTGAAATAGAAGGTGCGAAATTAGGACTTTAAAAAAGCTTACGATGCTGAGGGAAACATTCAGGTGTACAAAGCATGCAGGAAAAGTTATATAATGCAAACGAGTGAAAACCTGACTCTCAAAAAGAGTGAGTCCTCTATAAAAACACTCCAAAAAGAGTTTTAAGAAAACACGCTCTAAGAGAGTGAAAACTACTCCAAAAGAGTGAATTGTCTACTCTGCCAAGGAGCCATAATTATTATAAAGGACAGCTTGAAAAGAGTTGTTCCTCATGCATATGGCTCCTCTTTTTGGGTTATTTTTCACTCTTTTGGAGTGTTTTTCACTCTTTCGGAGTAGATTTGTAAGAGGTTCACTCTCTTTGAGGGTAAGGTTTTCGGACAAGCACACTGAACGCTCCACATCTGGCTTTTAATGACCAATTCATCAAAGTAATCCACATCTCCAGTGCACCTAGTTCTAGTCATTCTGTAACTCATTGCTTTTAAAGTGAGTGGAAATGCTTGAAATAAATGTGAACACAACTCACATCACAAGTAATTAATTAATTGAGGAAGACAAGGTTGTAACAACATTTCGACTCATCTTGATGACATTTTGACTCGAAATCTTTTGCAGTGCACCTCAGTTTCAGTATGTCTGGAACACAATGTTTCATCTTTCAACATATTGACAACATATTGATGACCATCAACATCTTACCTTATTGGAGGACTCTGTTCCTGCGAATGATTAGTTCAATATCCAGCCACTGTATACCTACCACTGCCTCTTCCCACAAACAGTAACCAATGAAACTGCAAGAGATATTGGAGCCAGTTAAAATCTGCACGCTGATGTATAAATGCGTCAAAGCGGACGCCGTGAAAAACAAAGGCATTCCAGTTCCAGGGACCCCAACGAAAGAAAAACTAGTAGCTCAGTTGAGATGTATACGTCCGCCCTTCCTGGTATAGGGTCATGCGTTAATTACCGACCAAAGGAATAATGGTTTGAATTAAATTTGTTAACTTTGAAAACTGAGTAGGAGGGGAACGTGGCGTAATGATTTTGGATCGTAATTCATGAGGGGTCCAAATCCAGCTGTCGGTCGAGCCCTTGTGCGAGTCACATCAACAAAGCAGCTTACCTCTTTCTACCCAGAGGTGGGAAAATGGGCATAAGCTGGATGAATTGACATCCTGTCCAAGGAGGAATAGAAATATTCTCTGTAGTTTCATCCCAAGGAAACCGGAGATTGGCTCAGCATCGCGGCGACCTAAGAGCCAAATGGCTCCGCTTCTCTTCAAGTTTATAGGAATCTACTTATAAGTCGTACGGGCGTATACATTGTACTGGGAGGGATTACTAAAGACATTTATTCCCTTTTTATAGACTAAGGTTGGCCCTGATCAAGATGACCCCGATCATGGTGGGGTCCGTCATGGGAATGTACAATGTTGTAAGGCCTATGTAACGGTTGTGGTGAAAAATTTAAAATAAAAAAGCATCCAACTTGATTGCAACTTAACTTCAAATTACTGAGAAACTGCTGGGAATGGAATGAACACTATACAAAAGTACAGAAAAATCTTCAGAGTTTTTCTTTCGCCCAGCAACACCACTAGCGGTCGAAACCAATTGGCACTCTGGCTTGTCGCCCAACTTTCGCAAAGACTGGCCGACTTCCTGCATACTTCTTGGCACTCACCGTTTGGGGGCAAGTGTCGTTAGTGACCGTCACACTAAGCAGTGGTATTGCGGTTTGAGGTATCCCCCATACATTCGTTGAATTGGTTTCCATACTGGGAAAACTCGTGGAAACTGTGCCTTGACTGCCCGACAGTTCGAGAGTGCGGGAAGTTCCTACGTAAATTAATGTACTGCCAATTACATCTTAAGAGTGCGAAAGTAAACAGCATCGTGACAAAAGACTGATTGATTGATCCCAAGTTGTTGACCAACTCGGCAGTGGCCCAGCGACTGGGAGTGAAAGACGCAGCTATCTTGAATACTGATTATCAATCGTTGAATCTTTAGGCATGTTACAAAGCTTTTTTACGAACTACAAATCTACACTTTTTAAATGCCTTTCACAAAGGCAGATCACAGGGACATTAGACGTCACCGATTCAACCGAACAATGAATCGAGCAGTATGGAACGACTCTGAAATCTACAGATAAGCAAGCATGGTTCTTAAAATGATGTGTCAGATGCAGCCATAGGCCAATCCGTCGAGTTATATATTCTGCCAACCTGCTCTACACAACGCTATCTTGACTACACAATTTCACAGAAAATATAGAAAAATTAAACTGATAAAATTTTGAAATAACCAACTTATCCGCATGACAAACACGTAAAGTAACCATAATTACTTAACAGTAAATTGCAGAACACGAATTCTGGATTCAAAGTTTACCTTCACATTTAATTGTATTATAGGCGTTTCGGGACAATATTGGGAAATCTGCACTTTGAATGGTAAACATAAATTCAATTTGTATATCCTGGTTTCATCTTCGCAAAAAAATAGCATTTGATACCACGTTGCATCATTCAAATAAATGAATGTGCACAACGTGTTTCTTTCATCTGAACACACCTTTTATGGAAATGAAAGGGATTACAAATACGGGATTAGGCTTTCCGTTCGAGGTATATGCGTCTTTATGCAATGTCATCCAATTCAAAGACATTCGATTTTTATTTTATTGTAGGATGGTCAAGAGAAACATCACGTGTCATGCTGCAAGGATTATCCGGGATTTATATTGTCTTCGTTAAATTTCATCCTCCTTCTGTGTTTCCTGGAGGTCTCTCTCACCTGATATCATTGCGATTGTCTAATCCGTCAATGACCTTACAAAGACATTTCGGAAGATATGTCAACTGTGACACTCGTGAAGCGATTGTGCCAAATACAAAGCAAAAAAGCTTGTAAGTTTTAATGCAGACTTTATAACGATACCTGGTATCATGTTCTAAAAGACTACACCACTTAGTTTAGTTCAGTCACCATGAATATTCCTCGTGAATATGTTACGTTTGTTAACACAAATGAATTCAATACTCGACCAGGCAAACGTTCATTACCACTGCGCATGCGTGAGACAAGCTGCACGTTTATGAAAAGGAGCACAGGATGTGCCAGCGATTTCGTGCTCAAATGAAACCGTCAGAACATGTGTATACATGTATACACTAGATTTAGTGAATATTTGGGACATCGTACGCCGATTCTTTCTTCTGAACACACCTTTATGGAAATGTTGAATACAAGGATTTTGAACATTCATTCTATTTCCCACGAAAATTAATGCTTCGTTCACAAAAAAAAGTTTCATACTTATTTCAAAAAATGTCCGGGGAAATCTATATTTACAAGGCATTATCCTCTGTACTGAGTATTTCGATCACTAGTGGTGTTCAACGCACATAAAGAACTCTTTCCTTCTCCGGGTTTTCACCAGCACACTTCAGTTACTTCACACATTCATATATATATGAGACCAGTTAAAGAAATCATTTCCAGTGTGGTACAAATTCATATATACCCATTCAAATGGACTCCACACTGACCGTACTACGCATGATTTAGCGCACAGAGCAGTGACAACCAACAGACCTAGGGCCGGACTTCAAAGGCTGGGGGAAAAAGATTATACACAGGGATCCAAATTTCGAGTCACAGATTTCTTGGAACCAAAAAACACACTATATCACTGGAACTAACCTGGATTAAGGACTAAATTTCATGAAATTTGTAAGCACATAACTTTGCAGACAAAAGTTTGTAGCAATGCAAAGCAACAGAAGCCAACAGAGGCCCAAAGAGGGTACCAAAAATCGTGTTTCGGAGCAATGTGAATTTCGTGCCCAAGTCCAGAAAATAAAAGGAGGCTCTCCCTTCTGTTTGTCTCGACAACATGGCTTAAAACTGCCCCCAGTTATAATCACGAAGAGAATTTTTATGTACCCGAGAAAGTGAATTATCTGAGGTTTTATTTACAAATACACGTGGAAAACACAAGTTTTTTCTAAAATGTCTTTTTATGCTCAATGCCTGTATATTACTGCATTATTTGCAAGATTTACCAACTCTTCATGCGATCGATCCGAAAGTTTTCCAATGAAATTACAATATGGCAGCTATCATTTTGGCATTGCTTTGTGGACACCTTACATGGGCCATACAATCTTTCGCAGGATGGTAATTTTTGTTCACAACATTGTGGCTATTTTCACAACAATGATCAATCCATTTGCAACATCACAATATACCGTTGCTGTTGCAACTTCGACAACCTTTTGAATTTGTGGAATCTTGGGGAAAAGTGTCAGTGTTTGTAAATTCTATTTTTGTCAAGGAAATGTCAAACATAAAAGAGTTTCCTGATTAAAAAAACTCCACACCAAACCATCACGAATACAGATCTGTGCATGTGTTTCTTTGTTCAGATGTATGTCAACTTTTGAAGATTTTTGGGCAGGTTTCCTGGCACATGTATTATTTATCATAACTTGCTAACTGAAGTTAATCCATTCTAAGTTTACATTCTCTTTCCTAAATATCGCTGAAAGATATCTCCAGCTCCTCCAATTACGAAAATCAAAGATGTCTCATCACTACTCTGAAAATTTTTCACACATGAAAGAAGCATCTCTCTCAATACAAAATTGATTACGTGTATCTAGAAAGATGAAAGATCATTCTGTGGATCAGATGAAGAGCCCGTGTGTACTGTTGCCCCGTTTTCCGGTACAGTCAAACAACACGTCCTTAAGTACTTCAAAAGTCTAGCACCTCTCCTATCCAACATGAAAGCCATGGTCCATCAGCGAGTTCAGCACTCCACCCCGTACCGGTCAAAGTTCCGGAAAATGAGACCCAGCTGCAGGTGGATCTTTCCCATCGCCGTGGTGCTCAGGGCGTAGCGTTCGGCGCTGTGCACCATGTCTGGGTTACGCAGCTGGGGTGCCCCACCGATGAAGAACTGGGCGATCTGTTCTCGGGCGGTGCCTGCCGGCCGCCAGGTTACGCACTCGATGTTATGGGTGCCTGGAGAGGTAGGCAGGTGGCAGAAGCCGTAGCCATACAGCTCGTTACGGCCAAATTCGTCCTGATGGTAGACCTCAAACTTCAACTTGGGCCATCCTGATTACAGTGTCAAAGAAAAGAACATTACAAACCCTGTCAATCAAATCAATTCAAATCCCATCAAACCAACTCAGCCAAAATCAACATAACCCTAGAAAAGCCAAACCAAACCCACCCAGTGCAAACAAACCCGAACCAAATCAACCCATCCCAATGTCTTCAAAGCTGCCGATCCTGTAAATATACATATACAAGGCACACAAACCATATTGCTCAGCTGAAACACGTTACCAGCCACACTATCACACGATAAGAAATGCTGTTAAGTGGCATAAAAAGAATATTTGATGGCGCAATCTTAAACTTTGGGGGGGGGATTTGGGCAAATGAGAAATTGGAAATAAAAAAAAATGTCTATTGTAGCTTAAATGTGGTACAAAAAGTCAACAGACTTATTCATACAAGGAGCTTTAAAATGTTTTTCATTTCATTGGAAACAAACCTCACTGGACCTCTCTTGCCGTTGTAATTTTAAACCATTTGAGTCGGAGAAAAACAGTATCCTGTCCTCCTCCCCCAAAAAATCTCCTATCTTCCTGTCCTGTTTTCAGATGCCATGAAACAGGAAATTGAACTAGTTTTATTTGTTTGCCCTAATAATACGTCATGCTGGAAAAATGCCAAGGTGCGTCATGTGATGACTACTGCCTTTAAAAAATGCCATGGCAATTTCGGCAAAAAGCGCACATTGACTAAGCAATAGTTACTACTCTTCCTTGAAATAATGCCCAAAGATGTGAGACGAGTGTTCCAAGTGTGATGTGACACTGGAAATGATGCAGTGAGAGTGTAAACGCCTTCAATTGTGGACCTATAACAGTATGGGACAATAGGGTCCACGGTTGCCGAAGAGTCCATGGTTGGAAAACGTGTACAAAACATATGGGAGGTCTTCCGAAAAAGTATGAACAAAAGAGGAACAATAGGGAGTCCACAATTGAAGGCGTTTACACACTTGTATGGGTTTTCCCATTCCAAAGAGGATGATCTTGGCTAGTTGGAATTACCGTCAGCTTTAAAGGGTAGCTGAATTTTGAATTTTTCCTGGACACAACATTTCTGCAACTCTGTACTCTTCTTCAATATATCAACACTCTTTTACACTCCCATTTGGTTCAATGCACTGAAATGTGCACTTTTTAAACTTTTATAATAATCCATGCTTTCCTGGACAACTGAGGGCACTATTGCTGTGATGTCATCTAGGAAAGACAAAGTTCATTGCATAGGCTTTTCTGTTAAAGTTGCTAACCCAGAAGTTATGTGCTGAAAATATTTCTGGGAAAAGTGCTTGTGCACAACAAATTAGCAAAGAGAAAATTTAGCCCAGCAAAACCTACAACAATGCATGATGTTTTTGTGGACCAACATTCAGGCTTTCTTCCTGTAATGACATCACAGTTTTGCTCATGAATATGGAAATACTCATTAAAACTCAAAAAAGCTGCGACTAAATACTCTTTGAAATTATGAAACCAAAGTTGAAAATAAGGTTGACTGAGACACAAAGGTGCATTTTGAAGGTTTGTATTACAAACAAATTCATAACAGCTACCCTTTCAGCTCTTAAATTGTTTCCTATTCCCAGAGACAGCAGCATGAACCAAGACTATGGTTCAAGGCTAATCTAAATGTTTGGCTCCTCTAAGACAAAAACAAGTGAGACTTCAGATTTATCAACTGAACTTCTTCAACCCCACTGTGCATGAAATTAAGAAACTGGTAACAAAATCTGTGTTTTTACGATGAAGCAATGCAAGTGATCTTTAGCAGCCGAATAAATGCATAATGGGCACAGTAAATTTACGTCATTAAAGTCGACAAGCCACACAAATTATAGCTGATCCAGGATACATCTTTTCTGTGCTTTGCATATAATATCTAGACTGCATGGGTAGTACCTTGAAGGCCCTTGGTCGCAAAGTGTATATCGATGGGATGACTCCAGGCAGCGAATGCTTCATTCTGTGGCAAATCAACCTGAGTCTGTCCTTCTCGAGCACCAGCGATGACCTTCCATGCGCCGCCTGGTAGCAAGAGAAACCCCAATTAATATTGGGTTTCAGGGTTGCCTTTGACCAAGTATGTGACCCACTTAGCAACAATGAGTCACACGTCACCAGAGCCACTTTTGATCGAAGGCCTTGGAAAATATCTTGCAAAGTGCTGAAGCAACAGGAATCCTCAACAGTTTCAGTTAAGTCAACATCCAGTTTCCTCATACCAAACAGAGTGACACACATAGAGCTATATATGAAAAACTAGAGTGCTGACTCATGTACAAAGTGATGCCTGCTGAGCGCATCCATGTTGGTGAACGAACCTATGGAAAACTCAAAATTTTGTACGGCTTACGGCTATTTGCATATCTGCGTCAGTATTCTAAAACAATATGTTAACAAAGACGGAACATAAACAACCTGAACACACAATATGTAATTAAGCGTTTCATTTTGCTCTGCACCAAAAAACACAAACCCGTGCGCATATGCGCTGCGCATGAACTTTGCCATAATGCTTTTAAATTGGATTCTATCGGTTCCCGATGCACACAACAGACCCATCAATTCACTTAACATTGATGGAATTAAGGGAACGACTTTTTAATTTAGCTGAACTTATTCATAGAAAGACAGCCATCGAAAGACAAGCAAGTCGGACGACCTTGCTTGAATGTTAAGGAAACATTCCTTTTAAACGAATCAGCTATGGATGTGAAAGTTTGCACAGTGAAAGGGGTACTCATATGAGCAAGGTTGCAGCTGTAGCTCGTCAAATCTTTGGCAGTGGCAAACTGCACCGTCTGTCACAAGGAGACAACACAGCTTGTACTTTTTTGGAACTCAATTCCACTAGAGCTAATTTGAGCAGAACATTTATGTGCAGGTTGTTGATTAAAATTTCCAGACCGGCAGCAATGACAGGGAAGCAGTGACCTCCACAAGAAGCCTGCAGAATCAATGACCAGGCTAAATCAAATCAGGAATGGTCAGACAGGTTAGAGGCTTTAAAGGGTGAAGTAACAGGAAACGTGCTGACTTGTGATGTTTTTACATGTATGTAGGATCGATGATCTTTGCAACATTTTAACCAGTTCATGTTACAACGAGAGCACAGTGTTGGGAAGACTACCACGGCTGCCTGTGACAACAGCAAACTGACATGGATTAATAGATAGTCCCGTACGTTAGTAGAGTAATCGCTCTCTTCAGGACATACCTGCATGTATTCCCCATTTGCAGAACAAACAGTGGCTAGGGAACCCACTCCCTCCGATAATCTGACCAATCACGTGTACCTCAGCCATTCTTTGTAGTGGACGAGCATCAGTCGCTGTGGAAACACACTCTGCCCAGAGGAGGAAAAACAAGAAACTGGCTGTACTTTTAACCCTCCTACTTCCTTAAATCCTGCAAATCTCGTCTGGAGGTTTCGGAAGAATAAAGCCATTAGTCTGCTGGGGGGGTTGATGCAGCGCGAAAGCTTGAGCACAATGCAACTTACTGCCACAGCAATGGGAATAATGAGTCTATTTTTGTAGTGAAAGTGGGAGGGGTTGTTGATGTCTAACTTTTAAGTCACTGCGTCACCAAGGTTGCTGCAGCATCAGCACTAACAACATGCTATTTATTGGCTGTCTTGTGTATGTACATTCTCCTTGTAATGCAGATGCAACATCATGAATATAACTCAAAATTTCGGAACAGGTGGATGGTACAATTGGCAATGCAGTCATCATCAGGAAACATTAGGCCTACTGCAAGAGCTGCAACTTGGAAGGGTTAGTAATACCTTGCAGTGAGCTTAACCTGTTAGAAAGTATTAAAGGAGACATCACACCAACTTATTTACTTAACGATTCCTGTGCAAAATAGGGCTTACATACAATTGCATTGTAGATGCTAGTTGAACTCAAATATTACTCAGCGACTGAACTTACATGTACATGTACTCTTGCAACTATGGACAGAGTTCCATTAACCAACAACACAAATCTTCCCTTTAAATGTTACAACCACCATCAGAAAGTGATAAGATGTCATAAAAAGTGAAATTTAGCTGAGAAAATTCTGAAGCATTTACTTAGAAAACAAGTCCCATAGGGCTGGGTTTGTGCAAAGGGCCCTATCTAGGGACATGCATAAATGAGCCAGGGTGCTGGTTATGGCATTTGTAAACTTCGGGACCCTGTTCCTTTTATAGAACAGGAACTTACTTTTAATCTATGAAACTCATATTACTAAATTACGCCATCTACATGCTGAATAACTGTAGGATTAATTTTGTGGAAAGAAGGCAGAGTTTTGATTTATGATGGAAATTCTGGGGTTAAAATAACCACAGCGGCATCACGGTCCAGTGTGTCAGTATCAGAAAATCAGGTAAGAAAGTCGCATTTTCTTCTAATTTATTGATCTAAATTCAGAAAAAATAGGGTCAGCATCATTAAGAAAGCATTGCCCAAGGTTGTAGTCTTTTGCAGGTCAACCTCTTTCGTACAAATGATAAAACAGGGGGGTTGCCGAAGTTTACAAACGCCCCGTTTATTTGGGAACACATATTCTTAAATAGGAAACTGTGATTAAAATTTGTCTTTTTTCCTCAGGCTTTAGCTCCTCTATTTTTTTCCAATTTCACAATTTTTGAAATTTCTAGCAAAGCAAGCAATTAATTCATTGAAATATGGCACAAATAAGAATGAAGATTTAATGCAAATGTGAATTTTAAGTTTTTCAGTCAAAATCCACTTATTTTTGCGTACTAAAAAAATCTGATTGCTCTGCATTACATTCTCAATTCTCAAAAAATCTCAAAATATCCCTACTTTAAATCCGTATTTCTTTGCTGTGCAGAGTCCAATGGAACCTAGGCCTATATCAAAATCATGTAGGCCTACAATATCACTTCAAAAAGAAGACAAAATAGTTGAAAATGTTATGAGCCTCCCTACCCTATCGAGGGCATCAACTGCTGTTCACATGGAACTCTTTCCACAAATATCACTATGAACTAGGCCTCTCATTATACTGGGCGAGAGAAGTCTGAGTGACGGAGCTGTTCAAGGTTTGTAGAAAAAACAAACCTGGCATAGTACTGAAAGTGAAACGAAGCTCGAAACGCTAGCGAAGCAAGCTGGACCAAAAATGTTTGTCGTAACGCCCTCTTGTGCTCTCTGTCAGGTAATCTTAAACTAGCTTACAAGTCGTTTCACCATTTCACAGAATGTGGTCTTTTCTAATCATCCGAAGTTCCAATTGATAGTTCGGTGAAAATGAAGATTTTTTTCCTACAAAGACAGACTGTATTTTTATGTTGGCTTAACTCTTTTTTTGTAATACAATGTGCTCTCAGCTCAAATAAACTGTTTCTTTTGCAAAAAAAACGGGGGCGCTGTTGCACTTTGACAGCGCGGCACGGATAAATTCAGAGACGCACATGTACATCATGTATTGTAAAAAGGATTGTTGGTTCACCGACTTTAGTCTGTTTGTTTTTTTCAAATCATGTCATGCTTTCGCTGTAAAAATAACACGCTTTGTTTTTCTGTTAAATGAGCCCTCTCAGCATTTGATTTGAGGCCATGAAAGTATATTTTCTGCCTGTCCGAACGGCGATACTGGTGGGGATTTTGCTGACCATTCTGACGTGTGTCTGTCATGTCTGTTGCGATCACCGTCAGCTGAGGCCGTGCGTGTGGAGGTAGGTGTTTACAGTCATGACACTGTATGTAGGCTACATTATAATCATGGCTATTAAACACAAAACACTCAATGTTGAAAGGGATCCGAAGCTAACCTCCCCCCAAAGCATTCACCCGGAAAGAAGTGGCTTGAGGGAAGACTTCCATATCACAGGCATCACTTGACACCCGGACCCCATTGCCATGATAGTATAGCCTGTTGACATGATTGATAGTAATGCGTCAATATTTTCCCTGGCCATGCTGGTGTAACGGGCATGATGGGGGGGGGGGGGAATGGCACACTATGGGGAACTCGCAAAACAGAAAACTCTAACTAACCAAGGATCTTTGAGAGAAAGGTTGCAGGAAGCTGAATTAATAGGGACTCAGACACCAATGACTTGAAAAAAAAAGGACACACAAGAATTTATTAAAGAAAAAGTACTAAAAAAAATGCAGAAACCAAAAGGACTAAAAAGAAAAACACCACCAAAGGACTAAAAACTTTACAAGGACAAAAAATCAAAACCAACACAGTGTGTCAAAACATTCTAATGAGGATAGTTTAGCTTTCGATCACTGACTCATAGAAGCAGACAGAAACCTGACTCAAGCAAAAACGCCCACTCCAGTGGGGAGGAACAAATGCATGAGCAGTGATAGTGTCTCTGCTGGTTTGCTCTTCAAACTAATTAGTAGTCAGAGCATGGGGGTCAAGTTATATGGGTAGAAGCAAGGGCCGAAGTAAATAAACAGGGGGATACACTAACAGAAAAATACAGGGGAACTCTAAACAAAACCTGTATTTTTAGAGGGGAACTACTCCTATGAAAAGACGTGTACAAACAGTTTAACAAATTTCTAGCCCTGCCACACTGGAATGCCTGGACTCTGCTTCTAGTTATGCTAAAGTTGACTCTTTTTAGGACATATTATCACTTTTTGACCGCTAATATAACAGTTAACACTGGGGCAAAAATTAACAATGTGGAACTCTTCCCATCATGGCAGTGGCTTGAGAAGTTGGAATGTGTCTCTTCAACATTAAGGACTAGCGTGGCATGGACTCTGATGGCTGTTTGCAATTGTTAACATGTATTTTTTTTTCCAGAGGAATTTTTCAGAAATGTTCATTCGTTCATGTGGATCATGATCATGCTTGACAAGACTCAGTGTTTGGAGTTCAAATTTGTTTTGTATTCATAGAGTGCCCGAAAGTGTTGTAAAAGTGTTGCATCTATATCTGAGTAGACGACTGGACATTTGACCAAACTCAAGCCAAGTGATCAAATATGTAAATCACAATAAAATCCAAGAAACTACACCAAATTTCACTTTTGAAATTTATCCTAATCCTCAAGGGTGTGTGAAAAAAAATTGGAGAATTCAGGACAGCTAGGGTTAAATAAATGAGATCATGAAAACCCGGGATACTTGTCACAGGTATGGTTAGCCCGAGTTAGGTATTGAAGTTTTGTCATTTTTCTGTGAAATACCGTACAGAATCACTCCGCTCCAGTCAGATGCAGAGGCTGGATTCATTAGGACCAGCGTGCCAGTAAGTTAGCCCTATCACTTCTTGACTTAGAATCTCCGGAGGTAAACATGTAATATATTGAAGGAGGCGGTAATGATGGCCGTCTCTCTCTTTCCAAAAATTTATAGCAGGAAATGGAAGCCATATGGCATGGTAGCATGATCAGTTGATGAATGAATCCGTATGTCTGTGTCATGCATGCATAGGGAAGGTTTGATTTGCTCACCGGAGAAAAATGTACTGTACCGATGCGTACAGGAATTTTTTGACATTGTAAAGAAACCAGCCACGGTGTGTGTCTCTTGGCCGAGCAGTGGATAGGGATAACATACAGCGTTATTTTCACCAAAAAAGACACCAAGGCCATGCATGCTTGTGTCTGAGTCCCTACAGAATGTGTCTTCAGGCGTCATTTTTTTCTCGGTAATTTTGTTTCGTTTTTCATAAACAAAAAACAAATTGAGCTCGTTTGAGGTGTATTACTCAGTTTGGCATCGTCATGGTAAAAAGCCTTATGTGGGTGAAAATATGTCTCTAAAGAGATCCTATCCACTAACACCATTCAAGGTTCTGTGAAAGGTCTAAATAGTAGTGACTTACAACCCCCTGTACTGGCTCACCTATACTCGTATGTAGGTCTTATTTCTAACCCTAACCCCCTAGGCTCCTGCAGTAGAAAGCATACTGAACCTCAC